TAGCTACTGTCGATCATCGTATGGCTGTCCCGTTCGAGAACGTTAAGGATGTATCTAGTTGTGTCAATGGATATTTATGTATAACTAATGATAGGATGTCAAAAGGAAGGGAGACTGGAGAGGTTGTGTATGTGATATGTAACCCTAGCACGGGACAGTGCCTTACTTTACCCAAAATAAACACTACAAGGGAGGTGAGTGGAATGAGAACCTTTTTAGGGTATGATCCCATTGAAAAACAACACAAGGTGTTGGGAATGATCAGACAAGAGGATGGAGCTGTGGAGCATCAAGTTCTTACAGTAAGAGGAAATAATGGGAACATGACATGGAGATTGATTGAATGTGGCATACAACATTCTTTTGCGGGACCAGACTATATTTGCATCAGTGGTGTTTTGTATTACATAGTTAAGGCATCCAGTGGTGAATATATGATAGCTTGCTTTGATGTTAGATCTGAGAAGTTCAGCTCTGTTAAAGCCATGGAAATAGGTAGCAATTATGAAACTCTGGAACTTCCAAGGTAAGTTGGCTTCAGTAATGGCGCAACCGGACCCCTTTTCTTTTGGTGAAACAAGTACAAGTTTCGAGATGTGGATTCTACAAGACCCTGAAAAACATGAATGGTCCCAACGTGTTTTCAATTTACCTCCTACTTGGAAGGATGTTGTTGGAGTATGCGAGGAGTTGTACTTTATTGGAGCGACTGATACAAATGAAATTGTTATGGCACCGAACTTTTCATCCGGCTCTTTCAATGTTTACTACTACAATTTCGTCAAGGAATCTATAAGAAGGGTTGAAATCCAAGGAATAGAAGCGTTTGAGACAACGGGTTCTATGGTTCACACTTATGTGAACCATGTGGAAGACGTAAAGATTATGTAATTGTGTTAGGACTTGTTTTCTTTCCATCAGTATATCTATGATGTAGCTAGTCCTATCAATAACCTTGTCTGTATTAGATGTGATCCGATATTAAAAGGAAATAAAGAGATTGTGAGGGTGGTATGTAACCTGAGCACGAGACAATCATTTTACACTGAGCAATGATTTTTCTAAACTATGTTTTTGAATTTCATGTCTTAATTACTATAGCTAAATATTGTTTTACTTTTGATATTGGAGTTAAGTATGCACATTGGCACATCGTCGCTGGAATCTATTTGTCATCCTTTATTGATCTGTTTTACGAGCCAACACATGTCTGATAAATTCAGATTGGACGTGTATAGTATGCTCTGAAACATGTTATTGTGTGTTTTGTTGTTATACTGAAGCAGGCTAGAGAGTGTCTTGGATTCTGTTGCGGATCGGATGTCATGGCCTCGTCCGTATCTAAGATAAAAGATTGCAGATTGCTCTAGGACAACACAACTGTGGTCTACAATTGATTTCTGAGAGAAAATAAATATGTTGGAACAAGTTCTGCAAAGCCGTCTTTACTTCTCCACTGAAATCATGTGAAGGGTGGTCATCTACTTCCACTAGGTATGGGAGTCAGTGATCTGACTAAACCGAGTTATGGAAGTTATCTTCTCACAAGAATTAGAGGTGTCTAGTGTGTACTTAAGCGGCTAAGTTAGCTCATCTGCTGTGCAATCTGATCCTAGTAAAAACCATACCAGCATCTGCTTTGCAAAAAGTTGCTCTAAGAACTACCTGTAGTGATGGTAATGAGTATGAACGAGCTACTTGACTCAGTCTCCATGAGAGGCTCATCCGCCTATGGAAGACTCGTTGACCAACCTAGTCATTTAAGATGACGGAGCTAGTTTTCAGAAATATAAGTTGATGAAACATTCAAGCTTATTTTTGTTTTTCTTTGCTTGTCAGATGATGCATTTTCGTTGAATAACAAAAAAAAAAAAAGAAGCTAATTTCATCAAGGAAAATAGCTACTCTTAGCCAATCGATGCATATTTGTTGACAAGTACTGACATTCTCCAAGGTTGCTTCCGATGTCAACAATACCAAGCCTTCTCTAAACTATAGAGGATGTCTTCTCTCGCAAATACCCAATCCCTTTCTTGGTCTTCTGTTATTGATGTTTTAGTCGCTCCTCCAGATATACATGAACATTATTATCAATTATACAATTCTATGAAAACTTTTAGTTTTCAATTAAAGCAACGCTTAATGGACTGATATTTTAAAGTCAATATCTACTCTTAATGATTTTGATAGTTTATGTTGTGCATCATTTTGCATTCTTTTGACAGTTTGCTATTACTACTGTAACTCTGTAAGGTGTAAACTGAACTCCACTTTTGACCGAACATTCTCAGTTATATATGACCAAAAAAGAAGAAGCATAAATTCAGAACAAGGGCATGATTGTAATATCGTTATGTTATGATGCTAAAACCCTACCTTCTTCCTTTCCATCCAGACATTCACCACTATATATATATACACACACGCATCTCGATCTATCTAGCCGCTGCTACACTATCATCTCTTTGCGACATCACTTAGGTAAGCGTTACTCCGCTTCTATGAACTCATTTCTTACTTCACTGAGACAGTTTCAAATTCTATAAGCTTGATGCTTTTTTCATAGATCGTTTTAGATTATCTGAGATTTTGTTATCTGGACGAAGATTAATTGTTGGTTAGATCTGTTGTGTTGATTGTTTCTTTATGATTACATCTGCCCAGATTAATTAGCCATGGGTAAAGAGAAGTTCCACATCAACATCGTGGTCATCGGCCACGTGGATTCCGGTAAATCCACAACAACCGGTCACTTGATCTACAAGCTCGGCGGTATCGACAAGCGTGTCATCGAAAGATTCGAGAAGGAAGCTGCTGAGATGAACAAGAGGTCTTTCAAGTACGCTTGGGTTTTGGACAAACTTAAAGCTGAGCGTGAGCGTGGTATCACTATCGACATTGCTCTCTGGAAGTTTGAGACCACTAAGTACTATTGTACTGTCATTGACGCTCCTGGTCATCGTGATTTCATCAAGAACATGATTACTGGTACCTCACAAGCTGATTGTGCTGTTCTGATTATTGATTCCACTACTGGTGGGTTTGAAGCTGGTATCTCTAAGGATGGTCAGACACGTGAGCATGCTCTTCTTGCTTTCACTCTTGGTGTTAAGCAAATGATTTGTTGTTGTAACAAGGTGAATAAATGATTTTGCTTATTTATGTTTTTATGGGTTTGATACTAATGAGTTTGTTCTGTTACAGATGGATGCTACTACTCCTAAGTACTCAAAGGCTAGGTACGATGAGATTATCAAGGAGGTGTCTTCTTACTTGAAGAAAGTTGGTTACAACCCTGACAAAATCCCTTTTGTGCCCATCTCTGGTTTTGAAGGTGACAACATGATTGAGAGGTCAACAAACTTAGACTGGTACAAAGGACCGACTCTTCTCGAGGCTCTTGACCAGATCAACGAGCCTAAGAGACCTTCAGACAAGCCTCTCCGTCTTCCACTCCAGGATGTGTACAAGATTGGTGGTATTGGAACGGTGCCAGTGGGTCGTGTGGAGACTGGTATGCTCAAGCCTGGTATGGTTGTGACATTCGCGCCTTCAGGTTTAACCACTGAGGTTAAGTCTGTTGAGATGCACCATGAGTCTCTTGTTGAGGCGCTTCCAGGCGACAACGTTGGGTTCAATGTTAAGAACGTTGCTGTTAAGGATCTTAAGCGTGGTTACGTTGCATCTAACTCCAAGGATGATCCTGCTAAAGGTGCTGCTAACTTCACCTCTCAGGTTATCATCATGAACCACCCTGGTCAGATTGGTAACGGTTACGCTCCGGTTCTTGATTGCCACACTTCCCACATTGCTGTCAAGTTCTCTGAGATTTTGACCAAGATTGATAGGCGTTCTGGTAAGGAGATTGAGAAGGAGCCCAAGTTTTTGAAGAATGGTGATGCTGGTATGGTTAAGATGACTCCGACCAAGCCCATGGTTGTTGAAACTTTCTCTGAGTACCCACCTCTTGGACGTTTTGCTGTTAGGGACATGAGGCAGACTGTTGCTGTTGGTGTTATTAAGAGTGTTGACAAGAAGGATCCAACTGGAGCTAAGGTGACCAAGGCTGCCGTCAAGAAGGGTGCCAAGTAAAGTACCTTTAGCAAATCTCTATTGTCTGCAGACAACTTTAGTTTTATTATAGTAGTTTGGTGTTTGGTTACTTGTTTGTGTTACAGCTTCGTCTCTTATCCGTCAGAACTATGTTCTCGTAACTGGGTTCTTGATCGGAGGTGGCGGAGCCACGTTTCACTCAAGCTTGCTGTTTTTTGTTTGTCTTTTGCTTTCGGATTCTGAACTATTTTGAATGTTATGTTATTATGAATATGACATGAGATCGTTTCGTTGTCTAATCATGTTTTTTTTCTGCTGCGAATGGCAAATCTGAGAACACATCTAGATTCAGTTAGTCTGGTTGTTTAATCCATTTCAGTTTACAAGTAAATGTATATATATTAGCATTTACATAATTATATATAACCCAGTTATTCAATCTTACCTTATACTATAGTACTGTAGAAAATGAACTTATAGTGTAATAATTTTTTTGATGATTGTAGTCGTGTTGGTTAAGTTTATATTGTACTAAGAACACTGTCATTTGACTCCATAAAACCGTTCCAAAATCGTTTAGAACACCAAAGACGATAAAACAGAGAATTATATAAAGATAGATTGTTTGAACATTAACTTTTGGCTATTTTAAAGGTGGGACATTGATTCTTGGAATGTTCAAGCCTTTCTACTCGTCTATTGGTAAGGCGTGCTATATTATCCAACTTGGTTAAGTGTTCAGAGTTGGTCGCATAAAGTAACTAAAAGAAACCTGTCTGACTTTATAAGTGAACCTTTTCAAGGATATACAGTCCAAACACAACCATCTCTATCTCTCTATATGGACAAAAACCCTTTCATAAAGTCAGTCAGAGTCTTTTAGTATTCCAACGACCATAAAACCCCTTCAACGTAGCTCTCTCTCTTCCTTTCCACTACTCTCAACAATGGCCTCAACGCCGCCTCACTGGTCCCTCTTCACCGCCACCACCACAAACAACCACCGTCTCACCCGTCAACAACCCAACCACCATCAATGGCTTCCACCTCGTCTCTCCTCCTCCCCTCGCGCCGTTTCCTCTTCACCCTCCCCTGTTTCTTCCCATCGAAAGCTCCCAACTTTCTCTCCTTTAACCCCAAACTCATCTCTCTCCCCAGACTTCTCGGGTCGCCGCTCGACCCGTTTCGTCTCCAAGATCCATTTCAACAGACCCAAAACCACACTCTCCACACGCCACACCCCCGCCGCCGAAGCCGCTCTCCACACCCTCACCACATTCTCCGGAGACGACTCCACGTTCCACACTCTAATCTCCACCTTCGAGTCAACTCTCAACAGCTCCGACGACTACACTTTCTTACTCCGTGAGCTAGGGAACAGAGGTGACTCTGATAAAGCCCTTCTCTTCTACGAGTTCGCTGTTCAAAGAGAGAGGAGAAAAAACGAGCAAGGGAAGCTAGCTACTGCTATGATCTCCACTCTCGGTAGGTTAGGTAAAGTATCTATCGCAAAAACTGTTTTCGAGAGTGCTTTAGCTGGTGGGTATGGGAACACTGTCTACGCCTTCTCTGCTCTCATAAGCGCTTATGGAAGAAGCGGTCTTTACAAGGAAGCTATCACCGTCTTCAACTCCATGAAAAGCTATAACTTGAGACCTAACTTAGTTACCTATAACGCTGTTATTGACGCTTGTGGTAAAGGAGGGATGGAGTTTGAGAAAGTAGCTGAGTTTTTCGATGAGATGTTAAGGAATAATGTGCAGCCTGATAGGATAACATTCAACTCTTTGCTTAGTGTGTGTAGTAGAAAAGGTTTATGGGAAGTGGCGAGGAACCTATTTGATGAGATGGTGAGTAGAAAGATTGAGCAGGATGTGTTTTCTTACAATACACTTTTGGATGCGATCTGTAAAGGAGGGCAGATGGATCTTTCTTTCGAGATATTTGCTCAGATGCGTGCGAAGAGAGTCATGCCTAACGTTGTGAGTTACACCACTGTCATTGACGGTTTTGCGAAAGCTGGGAGGTTTAATGAAGCTCTCACGTTGTTTGATGAGATGAGGTATCTCGGTGTTGCCTTGGATAGAGTTTCTTACAATACTTTGGTTTCTATTTATACAAAACTCGGTAGAGATGAAGAAGCGTTGGATGTGTTTAGAGAAATGGCTTCCGTTGGGATCAAGAAGGATGTTGTGACTTATAACGCTCTTCTTGGAGGTTATGGGAAGCAAGGAAAGTATGTTGAAGTGAAAAACGTCTTCGATGAGATGAAAAAAGAGTGTGTGTTGCCTAATTTACTTACTTATTCGACGTTGATTGATGTGTACTCGAAAGGAGGATTGTATAAAGAGGCAATGGAGATGTTTAGAGAGTTTAAGAGCGTTGGTTTAAGAGCTGATGTTGTGTTGTACAGTGCGTTGATTGATGCTTTGTGTAAGAATGGGCTGGTTGGTTCTGCTGTTTCTTTGATCGATGAGATGATTAAGGAAGGGATTAGTCCTAATGTTGTAACTTACAATTCGATTATAGATGCCTTTGGTCGCTCTGCAGCTATGGAGTGTAGAGATGGTACACTGACTGAAACAGAGGATAATCTTGTGATAGAGTTATTTGAGAAGTTAACCGTTGAGAGTACTAATAGAATGAAGAAAGATTGTACTGAGGAGGGTATGCATGAGCTCTTGAGTATATTAGAAGTTATCCGCAAAATGCATCAGCTGCAAATCAAACCAAATGTGGTAACCTTTTCAGCTATTCTGAACGCTTGCAGGTTTGCCCCTCTTCTTCAGCATTTTTTTGGTGAGAAGTGTTGTTTTCTGTTGACATGTTTTGTATCTATGTAGTCGGTGCAACTCGTTTGAAGATGCATCAATGCTGCTAGAGGAGCTTAGGTTGTTTGATAATCAGGTGTATGGTGTTGTTCATGGGCTTCTCATGGGTCATAGAGAGAATGTGTGGCTCCAAGCTCAGAGCTTATTTGACAAAGTGAAGGAAATGGATGGTTCTACCGCTTCTGCCTTCTATAATGCTCTTACGGACATGCTCTGGCACTTTGGTCAGGTATAAATCTACACTGATATTTGTAGAGACCAAATTTTGGAATTGATATTTTGTTGAAAACATTGTTGTTTGTAGAAACGAGGTGCACAACTGGTGGCGCTTGAGGGAAGATCTAGACAAGTTTGGGAGAACGTGTGGTCCACTTCGTGCTTGGACTTGCACCTTATGTCTTCTGGTGCTGCAAGGGCAATGGTTCACGCTTGGTTACTAAACATACGCTCTGTTGTCTATGAAGGTCATGAGTTGCCTAAAGTCATGAGGTAAGCTTTTCGGTTTAACTTCCAACTTAATCCCTATACTTTTAGACTAACCTTTTGTCTTTGTGGCAGCATATTAACTGGTTGGGGAAAACACAGCAAAGTGGTTGGAGACGGAGCACTAAGGCCAGCGGTTGAAGCGCTTTTGAGAGGAATGGATGCACCGTTCTTCCTCTCAAAATGCAACATGGGAAGGTTCACATCGAGCGGTTCGGTTGTAGCAACTTGGCTGCGTGAATCAGCTACACTCAAACTCTTAACCGTTCATGACCATTTAACCAACAAAGCTAACACAACGAGGAGATCCAGAGACCAACAAGAACAAACCTCTCTCACGTTGCAGCCTCTGCGTATGTAGCTCTACTATGTTATGTTAACAATTTATGAACAGCAGATAATGTGTTTTGTTCCCAATAATGGTGGGATTATGTGCTAATATCTTGTAACAAGTGATATCAACTACTTCTGTGGACATGGTTTTTTATTCAACCGGGATAACGACGAATCAAAATTTCAGACTAATCTTGATATTCGGAAGATAGTGAGTTTTGTTTTTGTTTTGTTATTGGAGTGGCCAACATGAGCACGTAATAGTTGAGATTCTATTTTCTGACCATTAAGTAGTCTTGGATCGTTGTTTTTTATTAGTCTTGAACTTGTTCAAATTGATTTGAATTATATGTGTGAAATTGTAAATTTATGTTATTTTTAATAAATCACATTCATAATTTGAAAAAGGAAAAAACTATAAGAAAAACACTGATGCAAAAGTATAATGAAGGACCTTTTGATATCCTTGGCTTTTTTTATGAAAACCAGGTGAATCCACAGATTAAAGTAATTTAATTCTGTATGATTAAAATTATTAATAAAAAATATTACACTAATCCAGCTTGTTATTAACACCGACCAAGCCAGTGACGCTTCACTTACTTATTGAACGTGTATTATTTCACTTGTTGAGATTTAAATATTTTCGTGACTTGTTCCATCGTTATCTTATACACAAGAAAAAAATTCAACAAAGCTTCTTATCCTTTTTTCTTACATACTTTTATTTAAAAACCCAAAAGAACGGGGATTCTAGTGTTGAATGCAAGCTTCTTATCTTTGCTTTGTTACAAAAAAAAAAAAAAAAAAAGCTTCTTATCTTTGCTTATTATAACCAAAAATATAACTGATTTATTTTATTTGAAGAATAATCTATTCTATTGACTATATTTCATTATCTTAGAATCAAATATAAATTACAAAACAAAAACAGTTGATTACAAATCTTCATTTTTCCAAAACTAAATTATATTCGTAAACACGTGAGAGTATGCTGTTGCATGTTGGTGTTTTGTCCTTATCCCATTAACCAGACAAGAAATCCCACATCATGATATATACTACTTTGTACTTAGTTTATTATTTACGCTAGCCATCAACATTATTATTATTAACTACTGATATACAATTACTTGGAGTTTTAATCTTGCTGAAGAAATAAAACAAAGACGATTACGAAGAAAATGGAACAGAAAAAATATAAATCAAAGATTCCGATAAACAATTGAAAAGGTAATAATATTTTGACGAGATTTATTGTATTTTATTAGAGAAACTCCACGTTTTTAGAATATATTTTCTAGATTAATTTATGGATATTTCAGAAAAAAGATTATAATATTAATGATTACGCTTTTAAGTAAATTTCGTCACCAGTTACAACTCTTGGTCATCCTCTAATCTCTCTCTAATATAAAACCATTCTCTCCTCCTCTTTCATTTCATATCATTTCTCTTCTTTTAATCCAACGATCCACAAATCTCGTTTTCTCTAATGGCATCCAACGGCGACAAACCTCTCATCGTCAGCTTCGGCGAGATGCTCATCGACTTCGTCCCCACCGAGTCCGGCGTCTCGCTCGCCGAAGCTCCAGGCTTCCTCAAAGCTCCAGGCGGTGCTCCTGCTAACGTCGCTATCGCTGTCTCTCGTCTCGGTGGACGAGCCGCCTTCGTTGGAAAACTCGGTGATGATGAGTTTGGTCACATGTTGGCTGGGATCTTGAGGAAAAACGGCGTCGTTGATGAAGGGATTAACTTCGACACGGGAGCAAGAACAGCGTTAGCGTTTGTGACGTTACGTGCTGATGGAGATAGGGAGTTTATGTTTTATAGGAATCCTAGTGCTGATATGCTTCTTCGTCCTGATGAACTTAACCTCGAGCTCATCAGATCGGTACGTATAGAGTGTAAAGATTCATAGCTTTTTTGTCTTTTTTTTTTAATTTTTAGTATAGAGTTTAAGAGATGTGTAGTATGCTGTTGAAATGTGATTATTGATTGCTCTGAGTAACGTAGAAGATGATCTTACTTTTATTAATGCTAGTTTTACGCAACGGTGACTTTTGTTTTGTCTCATCTTACTGCGTTTTTTTTGGCGGGTCTTGTTCTTCTTTCAACGGATGTGCGTAGATCCACGTGAGATCACGTGATTTGTGGAAGCACATGACTTCTTGTTTTTATCATCTCGAAAAATTGAAAAAAAAACATGAAAGTAATAGTAGATTTTAATTTTTTATCTCTAACATTAAAAGCTCTAACTTTTTTTTTTGGTTGAGAAGAAAATTATATTTTTATGCTAATGAAACATATGTTTCTGATTGTGGAAATAGGGAGTGATGTTTTTATATCTACCGTTGATTAGTTTCAGTGAGTTAAATCTTTTATGTTCGTCTTGATCCAAATTGAAACTATGATTTTTTTTTAGTATTTTCGGACTCATTTGTGTGATTAAAAGTGCATGTTCTTCACATATCAACGTATTAAAGTGGATCTTTATGGTGAGGGTGAAATGATCGCTAGGGTTGAAAACTTTTGCGTAATTTTGGTAAAAGACATGCCTAGACAGCTAATCTCAATGGCGAGAACCTTTTGCTTTTATTGAACAGTTTGATAATATGATTGACCCCACTGTAGTTTCACATGAAAAAAACACAAAGAATCAATATCAAAATGGGTCCCTTAATAATTATTCCTTATGATCAAAGTTGTGCTCTTTTGAGAGTTTTTTTGGGTGGTGTACCAACCTGTGCTTAGTGGCTTTTACTTGATTATGTTTAAGTGTGAATTTTATTAACCGGTGCACATTTGTGACCAATGTGATGCATCTTTGTAGGCTAAAGTGTTTCACTATGGCTCAATAAGCTTGATAGTTGAGCCATGTAGGTCAGCTCACTTGAAGGCCATGGAAGTTGCGAAAGAAGCAGGTGCTCTTCTTTCCTACGACCCAAACCTCAGGGAGCCTCTTTGGCCATCAAAGGAAGAAGCCAAGACACAGATCATGAGCATCTGGGACAAGGCTGAGATCATCAAGGTAAGTGACGTTGAGCTCGAGTTTCTCACTGGAAGCAACAAGATTGATGATGAAACCGCAATGTCCTTGTGGCATCCTAACTTGAAGCTCTTGCTTGTCACTCTCGGTGAAAAGGGGTGTCGGTATTACGCTAAGGTAAACACACACTAATAACATCTTTTATCTGCATTTACCATCATAATGTCTATTAGGTGATACCAAAAGGCAAAACGAATATACATTGTAGAATTACTTTTATATTAGCATGTTTTTGGAAAGGATTCGAGAAACGTATTAAAAATGATTAATCAGAACAGAGTGGAATTTAAAATACATCAGGAATCATTAGTGCTACTTTAATTTAAATATTGGTGGGTTTTGAGTTGGTTTGGTAGATTAGATCTCATCTAATGCTTAATTAAAAATTCATTTCTTGTGGACCCTCTAGTAATCAATCAATCAAGGGTCACAAAAGTCTTCATCTCTAAAAGTTCTTTGTGTTTATCAAACGTGACGAATATGAAGTTACTTTGTGCTTTTATCATTTTGCCGAATCACATGAACAGTAAACATATTCGTATACTTCTTTACTACGTCAATGACTTTTGTGACTAACACTAAAAATGGGTTTTGTTGCTTTATATTATTCACTTATTACAAAACTGTGTAGAATTTCCGTGGATCCGTTGACCCTTTCCATGTGAACGCCGTGGATACAACCGGAGCTGGAGACTCCTTTGTTGGTGCTCTCCTAAACAAGATTGCCGAGGATCATTCCATTCTCGAGGTAACATTCCAAAAAAAACACCAAACTCAGTGTGCATTCCTTGAATGAATCCTCTTTTGGTTAAAGTTGATAGATATATAGACTCTAAACTTGATTTAACTAATGCAACAGAACGAAGAGAGATTGAGAAAGGTGCTAAGATTCGCAAACGCTTGTGGAGCAATCACAACAACCAAGAAAGGAGCCATTCCTGCTCTTCCTTCAGATGCTGAAGTTCTCAGTTTTCTTGAAGGCTAATAATAACAAAACAAAAAATTTCTAAGTAATCTGTTTTTGCTTATGTCTTTTTGTTTGAGAGAAACTAGTTGGACACTGCGCTCTGTTTTTGTTTCTCATCCTCAAATGTAACGATTTAAAATACTTATGTTTAAATTCAAGACATCATTTGCTAATAAAAGCGAAGTTTCTTTCGAACTGCATACAAAATACTTAATAGTACGTACTGTGGTTTGAATCATTGTGATGCATATAAGCTTTTTCTAGTTCCTTTAAAAGTTTAAGCCTAGGTCCGGGACAAGGAAGAGCTCTTCATCATCATCATAAGGGATCTCAAGCCTCGGCTTCTTGTTGGAAACATTGGAGTTCATGGGTCTATTGTAGGTATGTACATGAGCTGGATGTGAAACCGAAAGCTCAGGAACTTCAGCTGCTGGTAGAGCTTCTTGATCAGGCTGGTCCCCAAAGAAACCCATCTCTGCAAGCCAGTCTAGCTCACCAAGATCTAGCTGCTCTTTCTGCTGAAACACAACAAACATGTCAAAATATAGCTACAACAAAATTTAGTGCCCATAAAATTTAGTAAACCACTTCTCACCTTGTTACTGCATTCAAGATCAGAGTAGCTGAAGAACTCATCGCCAGTCCATGGAGGAGATGGAGCAGCAGGCTGTTGAGTTTGAGGTTTAGAGAGAATCTGCTGGTTAGATGGATCGAAATGATTCATCTCTGCCTTTTTGCTGCAATTAGTGGAACTCAGAGCGACTCGGATCCCAGTAGCTAAGAACCTCTGGTGGTTAGCAGAGCGAGTGTTAGGGGCATGTGTCCCCTCGTCACAGTCTCTGCAGAGAAGAGCTCTATCTTCAACGCAGAATATAAAAGCTGCCTTCTCCTGCAAGTAAACCAAAGATAGAACACAAGAAAAAAGATTACTACATTAGCAAACCTAGACATCCCATTTAGTATATCTACCAATATTGAAATCTAAAATTATTATACTTAAGTTAAATCTAATTCCTCGATCTTTCTTAACGAATAGATACAAAAGCTATGAAACACTTCTCATTGGTACTCTTGCAGATTCAAATACAGACATGGACAGAAACAGAAGAGGAAACTTTTCTTACAAGGCAGATGTCGCATGGAGGGAACTTGGTTGAAAGAGAGTCAAGAAAAAGGCGTTGGTGTTTGCTAGCGAGCTTATTGGCTGCGTGAACCTCAACGTCGCATTTAGCGCATAGAGCAGCCTCATCGGCACAACATATGAGTGTAGCCGGAGCTTTCTCACACACATCACACTGTATCTTCATCTTTCTCTCTCTTTACTTTCACAAAACTACCAAATGGAGACAAAAAAAACTTGAGAGCAAAGAAGATAAGAGGAGATTTTTTAATGATTCTGCGTATCAAAAGGAACCACATCCTTTCTTCTTATAGCAAGGCCTTGTTGTAGTTTATTAAGGTCCTACTCCTTTTTTCTGCGGCTCTGCTTATTTCTGTATTCAGTGTAGCCGCAAAAGTTTGTGGACGGTGTTTCATAACAAAAAATGTCGGCTGATTGTTTTTTGAGGTCTATATTAAACGTTGCATATTTGTTGGAAGCAAACATTGAATGTTCTTTGTGATCTATCCAACCTCTTGATGGAGTTGGTTGGTGTTTGACTAATCTCGTGGCTATCCTCATCCCATCATAATCAATAACACACAGTGTCAAAGTATCTGGTGAAAATGATTTTGACATTTTACCAAAAAAAACCTTTAACGTTGCTAGTGGCAGCTCACTTTTGTTCAAATGTATGATTCTTTGCTTTTATGTATTCATAACATGCAGTCTAAATGTTTAGAAATACAAAAGCATCTGAGAAAAGAAATACAATAACGGTTATATTTTATAATTTATAACAACAAATTAGCAATTTGAATGTGTGCTAAGACACGAGACACAGTCTCAATAACCAAATCCAGACAACTCATTATATTTCTTTGGGGTATTCAAATGTGTATTGAACAGTCTTCTCATAGTTCACAACCCAGTACCCTGTAGGACAAGGCACCACCCGTTAGCTAAACCCTAAAATACAACAATACCAAATCTAGAGAAGATTGCAATTGATGGATGTGTACCTCTCATTAAATAGCATTTGTATTCGTGTTCATCAGCTCTCATTCTGGCCGTTAAATGGCTTCTGTTTTCTCATCTCCGCATTTCCATTTTGTTGTTCCTGCTGTCTAAGACGATGTTGCATAAGCTGTTGCATCTGTTGTTGTTGAAACTGAAACTGCTGCTGCTGTTGCTGTTGTTGTTGTTGTTGTTGGTGCTGTTGTTGTTTCTGTGAATGAAGCTGCAGCTGCTGGAGCTGTTGTGCCGCTAAGACTGTCTGCATTGACTGATTGTTGGAATAGAACTGCTGGTTTGATCCGAACGAACCATAGTTCATCGCCGATGCACCGTTTGAGGCGACTTGGCCAGTCATCACCTTCAGATGCTGGATTTCCTCCTTGAGTGCTTCGTTTAGTTCTGACATAAAGACAAATGTTAACACCAAATGATGATGAGACATCTCTAAGTGGGAAGTAAAGGTGCTTATGATTAAAGAGCCTCACCATCCTGTAAGTGAACTTGCTGCTCCATTGTTTGCAACCTCAGTTTCAGCTCATTGTTTTCAACTGTCAAGCCATTCGTATCTCTCTGAACAAACAAGACGAAAGGTCACCAATTTTGAAACTCATAACACATCGAAAAGAACATTGTTACGCTAGAAAAAAAATTCAAATAGCAACCATAAACTGACTCTAAAACCAACCTGTAAGAGAGTCAACTGTGCTGAAAGAGTTGTAGCTTCTGTTTGTAAAGTCTGAACTTTTCTCTCAAGCTCAAATATATATCTCGTCTTCCTTTCTTTTGACCTTGCCGCGGACTGCCTATTTGCCCATATCCTATTTGTATGCAACAAAAACAAATCATACACTAGCTCAACTCATAATAACAGTATAGAATCTGATTGTACAAATGCAAAGCTTCCTCAGTGTTTTGTTAGGTCAGGCCATTCTAGATTATGTGGAAACAGTTGCAGAAACTATACCACTAGTGCCATTAAAGCCACACCAAAACACACAACTAGAGAAGCACAGGATAAAAAAACTTGAAAACTAATACCTCTTAGCACGTTTTGGATCGACGAGAGCAAGCTCAGCAAGTTTAGCAGCAGACATGGACTTCTTAGCATCAACCACAGAATCATCACCATCTCCAGACATAAGCATCTCATTAATATTCAACGACCCATCCATAGAATGACTATGTTGGTGCCTAACTCTCGGCCTTTCCCCAAAACTATTCTGAGGATTAGAAGCTGACCCTAAACCCATCACAGATTCATTCTTCCAAGCAGTCCCTGAAGGCTCCCCACCCACTTGGGCCGCCGAAGAAGTAGCAGTAGAAGAATTAAACTTATCCATATCGAGATACATAGAGAGCAAATCCTCTTCAGTGTCATCAGAGAAACAAGCTCCATCAGCGTTAGTACCACCACCAACGACGCCAAGATCACTATCAAAGCTTAGATCATCAGGGAGAGTTAGAATCTCGGAGTGAGCTCGACGGTGGCCTATCTTCTTAGGTGGGTGTTCGAGCATACGGCTCATATCGTGGCTTAAACGGTTAGTGTCTGAGATGTGACTGATGGGACCAGGAGATGGAGGTGGGAGACCTCCACTATGTGCTGGTGATTTCTCTCTATCCATTTGTTTAATTTTATCTCTACAAAACAATCAAAGGAGACGACTTCAAACTCAAGCTATTGATTCATCGATGTTAGAGTGGTAAAGCATAGGTTTTTATGTAAACCCTTAATCAAAATGATAAGAAAGATGAAAACTTTGATCTAAAGGAGACGACTTTGGAAGAGTTACTTACAGAGAAACAGATCTAATCAGCTGAACCAAAGCTTTTAGGGTTTTGAGGCCAAAGGTTGTGACTTTGTGTGAGAGAGAATAATTGAGAGGAGGAGATCTGTGAGATTGAAGAGGGAATGGGATTCTTACAAGATCATGTCATGTGTAGTGAGAGATTGGAGATGCCCACAATCTCAATCTCTGTGTAATGGGTAATGCACTGTTAAAACGCGTCGTTTTTGGCGTGTTCCGCCATTTCCGTTAAGTGGTGACGTTTTGAGAAGCAGAGAGATTCGTTAACTAAAAGTTTTAGTCTAAAACACGGTGGAACTAGTTAGAGCCGATGTCACCTTGTCCCCACCAGGCTTCTGGTCTGTGCCGTTTTCTTAAACTTGTTTTAGGCCCATAGAGCCCAATAAATGGATTTGCATGCTCCTTTTTGGGCCGGAAAATGATGGCCCATTTTCTCACGAAAATATTCTCTCTTGAATTGATAGTAATTAAAATTTCTGGCTGTTTAATTGTCATTATTTCTCTATCCATATATTTTTTTACATTTGCGTATATTTCGTAAATTAAAAAAAGGAATATTGTTTGAATAATTTTTTATCAATTTTTTTTGTTTTTTTCTGACATCTAAAATGAGATATTAACTGATGAGGAAAAAAAGAAGACTCTTGGTACGATCAGCACCACATGCGTCTTCTTGTACTTGGATGCCAATGGTCAATATAAAGATCCTACAACAGTACAATTCAACCACTTATGAACCAATCTTACGATATGCAAATTTAGTTTATATACGTTTAAGTATAGTGTATGGTTTTGACAAAAACGTAAACCTCTTAAAAGAAGTACTAAGTTAAAGCTCTAAACGGGAGGTGGTTGCACAGAGAATTTTGGAGTTAATAATTGTGTACTTCCACGCCATAAAACCTTAACAATTGTGTACTTCCATAAAGTACCAGTCGATCATTCTCAAATGTGATTTTTTTATTAAAAGTCCTATCAATTGATTTGGCTAGTTTTGGGAAGAATGTACTTAAAAGACAGTATATTAGTATGAAAGTGCACTAGACTATATGATCCAAGTTTGGAATATTTTCCGTCTTCCGACTAATGCCGAAATCGATCGTTGTTACGTTTCTCAAGATTTATGACATTCAAAACTGAGAAAATCTACTATGACATTCTAAAAAGAGAAGTATATTAAAATCAACTTTTGTAAATTCACATTTTAAACCAAGTGGTGGTGGTAATCTATTGATAATCTCTTAGGACTTAGTGTATATCACCATCCCAACTGTAATGTAGGTGTACATTTACCTGCTCCAAGATCCCAGTATTCAAGCTTTTAATATAGTTTACACTTTACAGATCAGATCTCTTTATTTGTCTGTTTTAATGTTAACATCTTCTAGATGTGTTTGTACACCATTATTTATTAATGTATCACAAAGAAAACTGGCCATTGGTTTAATCAAAATGACAGAAAGCTGATTATTTAATTTTTTACTTTTCACATCTTATACTACTATACTACAAATACTTGTTAACCGTGATTAACAAAGCCTAACTACCTTTCTCACTTACCACTCTTCGCTTTACGCTTTCTCACTTACCCACGAGACGTAATGGATTTTTTAAACTAAAACCCAAACAATAACTTTGCTGCTAGCCTACGATTTTGATGTAGAAACTACTAATCTATGTGTACATATTGAGAAGATATATGGAGTTGCTATAATTAAAGCAAACGCACTCTGTAATGCTGACTGTTCTTGTAGGGTACTAAACAATGTTGGACTCATTTTATTTTAACTTTTGTATTTTTGTCGTCTTCGGCTTCCGGTCCGGAGTTCGCGAGGCTCTAATTTTCATTTTCTGTGGTTTGAAGTTTCTTTTTCAAGATCTAGAAGACTAGAGCCGAGGATCTAGGATATTTTGGAACATTTCAAACGTGATGACTGTTAATTTTCTTAAAGTAGAGACATATAGTTTGATTTATATATAAGAGTTCACAGGTTCTACCACATGCTTATGTCTACATAACAGATCTTAGCATGTGAAAGTTACAATTATACTTAAACTAACTTTTGATTCAACATACAATTTATATTACTTTAGGTATGCTTTCATCATCGTTTTTAGTTACTAAAAGGTGAGGACATTAGGACATACGGCCCCAAGGTTGCTAAAATAATATCCCTCATCATGATCTTTAAAATATTTATACTTGAAAGTATGTCTTGAGAGCGATATTTCATTATAAGCTACAAAAGAAGGTCGGTCTCATATAAAATATCCTCATAACAACACTGCCAAAACTATTATCATATATGAGATTATGAGTTAATATACTTCGTTTATTCAGAGATGTATGCATCAATGATCAATCTTGCTACACTCAAGTTTTTATTTTGTTGCTATTTTTTTCTTTTTGCTAATTGCAACCTAGAGTTAATAATTTGAAAAAATAAAGCATATTGGGAATGATTGGTCGAGTTTTAACTAGTGACTTTAGCTTTATTTTCTATTTACAACCATATAAATCACCAATCATGCTTTAACTAGTTTTTAAAGTTAAAGTCAAAATTTTTTAAAATAGCTGTAAGATTCTCATTTTCTAAAGCAAAAAAAATACTGTTGTAGGATTGCTGTAGAAATATCTTTTTTCTCATTTAATTTCTACAGCTACATTAGATACAACTACATCCAAAATTTCTATAGACTAATTTCTACAGTAAAATTTTTACAGTTACAGTCCAACCATTTAAAATATAGGTAAGAGCCCAAATTGGCAAAGTACTACATATATTAGTCTATATTCAAGTTTTTGTTCTATATAGTACATAATTCTGACAATTCAGATAATAGTTATACACTTATCTTAAATATTGAATAGCCTTTCATTAAATATACAGATTTAGAAACAATGGGGGTGATTGGTTAAATTGTAGATTTAAAATTTTTACTGTAGAATTTAGACTGTAGATGTTTTTGATGTAACTGTATCTAATGTAGCTGTATAAATTAAGTGAAAAAATAGAAAAAGAAAGATATTCCTACAACAATTCTACAACAATAATTTTTTGCTTTAGAAAATAGGGTTCCTACAACAACTTCCATTTTTTGACTTTAGATTAAAAATTATTTAAAGTATGATTGATGATTTAAATGGTTTTAGATAGAAATTAAATTTAAAGTCATTACTTACAACCCAACCAATGAATAAAATACATGAAATCTTGAATGATACATCTATTCTTTCTTTAAATTACAAATAGAAATATACTTTTGATGGACGGTGTAGACAATCCATAATCTACCAAAACTCAACAGAACCCTAAACTATGGAAATGATGATTTGCATTTTTTGTATATGCTAAAAAATCGTAATCGATCCGATTTTAGTTTTCCGTATCCAAAAGATGTCACACATTATTATTTGGATAATTTTTGTCAAACTTTTGAGATCATGTATATTTTATTTGCATATGTGAATATATGTATTAAATGAATTCATATTTATGATTTGAATATCCAAATTGTATATAATATTGACTTAGTTGCACTAAAATGGAAGTAAAATAAAGTAGTTTATCAGTGGATTTAAACCGTGTATATGATTGATAATATACTGTTTTGAACTTTGATAATAAACCATTTGTTTTGTCATTGGAAATTAATAAAAATTAACGAATTTATACACCTAACGACCTAATCTGTGTACAGTAGATTATGTTAAAAATAAATGAATTATAAAAGAACCGATTCAGAACAGTATATATTCAGTGGGTTGTTCCAAACTGATTTAAAAGAAAACTAAAAACTCAGAAATTCGATAACAGTCTCCAGCTACCGAACGTGATTTTTGCCTGTAATCACGTACATCCATAAAGCAATGTATATGAATAGTTAGAATAAGTCAAGGAATATCGAGCCCTGTGTCACCACTTCCTCTGTACATTGGCATCTAAAAATAACTTTTACAAATTATCATCACCAAATAAAAACAAGAAATATTTAGTGGTTGGAAAAATAAATAAATATACGACTAGTGCATGTAAAATACGCCTTACGTGTCAAACAACTCCATACAAATATCAAGATATTTATTATATTTACTGCATCGCACGTTATTTTTATTTTTACAGTAAATAAACTTTTCATGAGACTATAAATAACAAAGGTAAGCATCACTTTTTTTATTCTCATCTCCATTATCCCTAGAAAGAAAACCTAAAAAGAAAGCGAAGAGAGAAAAGAGATCAGGAAATGTCAGTGACATCTACGGTGGAGGAGAGCCACCGGAAGGATCCTTCGTCGCCGGAGAAAGCGGCGGAGAAGAGGAAACGTAAATGGGTGTTTTGGGAAAGGAAGTGGAGGAGATTAGATTATTTCAAACTAACAGCTTCATTGTTTGTGCATTCAATGGCTCTCTTGGCTCCGTTTTATTTCAGTTGGTCAGCTCTTTGGGTTACGTTTCTGTTTTATACCATTGGTGGTCTCGGTATTACGGTGTCGTATCACCGGAACTTGGCTCACCGGAGTTTCAAAGTCCCTAAATGGCTTGAGTATCTCTTGGCCTATTGTGCCCTTCTCGCTATTCAGGTTCATATCAATAACATTTATTTTCTTATTAATATTTTAAGTCAGATTTGGTCAAATAGATCTTAAGATCTTAATTGCTATTAATTATTATTTTTATTGTAATATTTTTTAATTAATAGGGAGATCCGATTGATTGGGTGAGTACTCATCGATATCATCATCAGTTTACGGATTCAGAACGAGATCCACATAGTCCCAAGGAAGGCTTTTGGTTTAGTCATCTTCTATGGATTTATGATTCTGCTTATCTTGTTACAAAGGTGATTTTCAATTCCATTTTCTTTTCCTTTTTGTAAATTCTCTTTTCATTATAAGCTGTTTTATTTATAACAAAATAAAATAAATGTAGTGTGGAAGAAGAACAAACGTTGATGATTTGAAGAGGCAATGGTTCTATAGGTTTCTTCAGAAGACTGTGCTGTTTCACATTCTAGGACTTGGTGTCATTCTGTTCTATCTTGGTGGCATGTCCTTCGTTACATGGGGAATGGTAATTGAATTTATACAATGTTGTGGTTACAATATGTTACATATGAATACAGTTGTATATTGTTGAATTTAAAAATTGATTTGGTTGGTGATACAGGGGGTAGGAGCAGCACTGGAGGTGCACGTGACATGCCTCATAAACTCGCTATGCCATATTTGGGGCACTCGAACTTGGAAGACCAATGATACTTCTCGCAATGTTTGGTATGAAAACGTTTATAGTCTCTTTACTTTTGGTGTGTTTTTTTTAATAATTTAATATCATCTCTGTCACTTTCTGAAAATATAAAAGCACGCGTGAAATGTAGACAGCTAATGTTTCCAAAGATGCATTATTGTTAATATTCATTTTTTTCATTTTTTATTTAATTTGAAGGTGGTTATCGGTGTTCTCATTTGGAGAAAGTTGGCATAACAATCATCATGCGTTCGAGTCCTCAGCGAGACAAGGGCTTGAATGGTGGCAAATCGACATTTCTTGGTACATTGTTCGGTTTCTTGAGATTATCGGCTTAGCATATGATGTTAAACTGCCAACGGAATCTCAACGCCGTCGTATGGCTATAAAGGCCACATAAACAGGGATCTAGTCTATGTAACTAGAATAACTTATAATCTTAAAAGAGTTTTTCTCTCGCTTTTTTTTTTTTTACTTTTGAAATTTCGGTTAACGCAATGAACGTTTCCGATGTGTTGGAGTAAGTTATTTAAGATATAAAATCTTTGTTGACCAAAAACAAAAAGATATAAAATCTTTAGTGGGGAGTTAATACGTTAATTATTTGCACCAAATTAAACGAATACAACGTTGTAAAAGAAGAAAATCAGATACATAGACTTTTCCACAGGTTATACGTTTCCAGAGTTTCTTGGCTTTACAGTGTTTGTTTGTTTGTTTGTTTGTCATATTTTGATATGATTAATTTACTTGATAACAGTTCGTGGCACCAAATTTGTGAATATATGTAGAAATTATCTTAATAATAATATTTTACACCAATTTACTATCTGTACTAATCATCCTTTTGGAATTAAACTAAAATGTATTTTGATCGAAGCGTTATTGGCAAGTGATAACTAGCTTTTATTCTTAGCGGACAAGTAACACTTTAACACAGAGGGTCAAGTGGGCAGTGGTCCTAGGAGTAAAGACAAACAAACTTTGTTTCTTTTTTTGAACAAAAAAAAAAAAAAAAAGACAAACAAACTTTGTTATTTAATCGAATCAGAACGTTAAATTTGCAAAGTTGGTTTGGTCAAGTTGTTACCTGATGAATAATGACAACGACCAACTTCATTCTCTTACAGAAAACCTTAACATTCACTAAATTTTTGAAGAACAATCCAAAACCTAATTGCGTGTCAATGAGTTCCAAAAACAAGAGGTTTTACATCAAAAGTAAAAATATATTTCTCTGCCTCATTGGTTTTGAAGGAAAATACAAAAAAAGGTCCAAGTTCACCTAATTTATATGGACTAGAGATTGTAAGCCTAAGCTTTGAAATTATCCTTAGCTTCTCGGATAATCCCCAAAGCTTCTGCGTCATCTGCAGTCTCTGAAATGCCTAAAGCTCGACGAATATCTGTATTCGAACTTCGGAGGAACGGGTTACAAGCTTTCTCCATCTTCACTGTTGTTGGAATCTGATCAAGAATAACAAAAAATCAACACTTAATTAAGTTTAAGAAGGAAAAATGAGGAATGCATAAGAGGATCATTCTTTCTACCGTAGGTAGTTTCTTGTTACGGAGCTCTGCAACATGAGCTGCATAAGACTTGAGTACTTCATTATTTGGCTCTATAGACAACGCAAACTTTGAATTACTCTGTAACCAAAATCAAGTTAAAATTCATTTTAGAGTTTAGACCATCCTTTGAAGCTTCTCAACAACAACTAGACTTAGCCAAAAAACAGACCAACGTATATTCATGACCACAATATATGCTTGTGTCATCTGGTAAAGATATGATCCTTTGGAGAGAAGCAAGCATCTGCACAACAATTTGCATACACATGGAAAACTTTGATGAGGTAAATTAAACAGGAAGATAGAGAATGTGATATATGGTGTTTTTACCTGCTTAGGTGTACCTTCAAAGAGTTTACCACATGATAAGCTAAACAATGTGTCTCCAGTGAAGATAGCTCGTGATCCTGGAAAGTATTAAGCTAATATGGCCTACAAGGAAAATCAAGATAATTAGAAAATAGCATATGATTACTAGAATGCAAGAACATGCGTGGAATATAATAATAAAACAACCTTTTGTGTGGCCAGGAGTATCTATAACATGAACTTCATGACCAGCAAACATCCATTTGTCACCATCCTTCAAGGCTATATCAATTCCAGGTATGCGGTCTTTATCTACAGCTGAGCCAATCACCTACATTCCAAATATGTAACATAGCAACAATGTTATCATAACACAAACTGATGAGGATAGAAAGAGAAGTTAAAAATCATCATACCTTTGCACCGTACCTGTCTTTCAATTCCAAGTTTCCACCAGTATGATCATAATCATGATGTGTATTCAATATATACGTTAGGTTTTGACCATTCCTTTGCAATGATTCTATCACAGGTTCAGCTTCAGAAGGGTCACCAACTGTACCAGTATCCTCATCATGTAAAATATAGGCATAGTTGTCCTTAAGACAAGGCACCTTGAAAAGGAGAAAAACACATGAAGAGTCATTTTCAGTTACATAAAAACTAAATAAACAAACAGAGCTATGTACCAAGTAAGTAACGAGAAGAATATAAATGGACTAGGAGGTTCAAGAAGTGCAAACCAGTTCAATTTGTAATGAGGAGATGTTGGAGACACTGCAGAAATTTGACACACGAATAGATTTGATAGCACCGCGCAAAGTCCTAAGAGGTGAAGAGACAAGCTTCATGACTCTGCATACAAGACCCTTTCTGAGGTGAAGTTGTCTCACACATGGCTGACTTGTTATCTTCTGAAAGAAGAAAGAAAGATGTTACACATTGAATCACTTCGGGAAGATGAAGAACAAGAACAATTAAAATAATAGTCAATCAAAACAAGCCTTATGTACATAACTGAATGCAACATGTTTCATCATTTCATCCATAACTCAAGTAAAGATTTGATAAACACAGTGTTATTTCATATCCTAAAGCAACCTAGACAACTAAGACAAGCTCCACCAACTCTAACAATCATCTAATAGGAGACGAACCAACGCAACTACGATATAAAACTATTTTTAAGGATACAGTCATACAGATCATAAGATGTTAAAATCCAGAAAGAAAGAAAACAAACCGAAGAACAACGAAAGAAGGAGATAGTAGACGAAGCATTCGAGATGGTTTGCATCTCTTCCTCGCTTCTTTGATCTTCGGAAAGAATCGACGGAGAAAGAGCGTCAAGAGACAAAGAGCCGAACAGAGTGTCAAGGCTCTTTTTAGACCAGAGAATAGATAGCTTGTCTTGAACAACACAAACGCCGGAACTAACAAACCGTACTCCAGACTAAACCAAACCAAACCAAACCAAATCAATTAAACAGCGAGGCATACGCATATCTAGCTAGCTTCATGGTAAGACGTGTTCTCACGATGTCGACCCAAAAAGCACATTTTTCATGTAATTTTTTTAATTTCTTTTTGACTTCTGTTCAAATTCTCACATCATTTTTAACTTTTAACTAACAAAGCATTGTCAAAAGGATGTTTCAACAAAAAATAATTATACTTGTGTCTAAAACCTTATTAAAATACGATTTTGTAATGAATGTTTTGAAATAGTTAACCACATGACTCATGACTCATGACATGAGATGACGCGACCGCATATGTAATTCAGACTTGTTTTTTATAAGTTTGGTAGACCTATACACGTATGACGCAAGTATGCACCAATGAAGAATATTATTTAAATTTTTGTTTTATATTTGGATACATACCAGTGTTGACGTCCGCGTAGGGCATTTGTAGTTGGTTAAACAACTAAATTCTTGTAAATTATGTAAATTATAGAGAAAATTATTACTAATTTTATAGAGAAAATTATTACTCTGTTGTTATAGAGAAAATTTTCCAGTTACAAAATAAATATCGTTTTCGGTTTTCAATATAAAATTTACTAATTTTATTATGTAATTTGTTTTTATTAGTTAAGATATAGTTAGTTATATAGGTAATTGTATGTTTATATAGAAAATGTGAAAAATTAACTGATTCTTTAATCATAACACTTATAATGAAACAGAGAAAATATATATATTTTCCGTTAGCTTGAAGGCTGGAGTCAGTTAATGCGAGCTTAAATCGATTATTTGATGGTAATCTTTTTTTTGGTGATGTTTTGGATCAACACTCGTTCCTCGCAAGGAATATATATCATACTTAAACCGGGATTATGAGTCTGTGTTTTCAGTTGTCTGAAAAATTATCCGGTTCTGGTGTGAATCCCAACATTTGTAAGGTCAACATTTGTTTGATTAATCCCAACATTTGTTTTTCAAATGTTTCAGCCGAGTTTCTTCCCAAATAAAAGTCACGAGACGAAAATCCTCGAGTCAAAGAAGCAAACAAACTCTAACATCATGACATAATTAAGTTTATAACCAAATCATGTGTCAGGGTCGGTCCTTAGAATTTGGGGGCCTGTGGCGATTCCTATGAAAAAAAAATTTTAGGGGCCTAAAAAAATTTTTTGGGGACCTATACACATGTAGTTTTCTTCAAAAATTTTAACCTATACACATGTAGTTTTCTTCAAAAATTTTAGGGGCCTGAGACAAATGTTTCATTAGACATGCCTCAGGGCCGGCCTTGTCATGTGTAAAACCAAACAGAAAAAAAAACAAAAACCCCACTTTGAAAACTTGATCCTTTGAATAATCTCTAAATCCACACATACTCGGTAGTTCTTTACGTACGTTTAGTAGTGAAAATGAAACCCGTGTACGTAGTCATCATACATACTATACATCTTTATTATATGAATGTTGGGTGTTTGGTATTTTTGTGCGTTTAACTCAGTTAGCATAAAATAATGCGACTTTGAAGTCAATATATTTGTTTACACGATGTGCTTAGCTTCTATAACATTATTATAACGTTATTCGTAAAGTTCGAATGCAAACATAAAAGAATAGCTATTTGGCTAAACTCTTAACATGCTTTTTATTTTGGAAAATTGTAATAAATAGTAACCTAATTACATATAAATTAACTTGTGTGAGTGTGAATGTGCCTACTAATTTGAACCGTTGATTTGATACATTCTACATGTTTCATAACTTTCTATAAACTAACCATTTGAAACTCGACTGAATTCACGACATGTATGCTTTCTTTTGGTAATCTGTTAATGTTACCAAACCACTAACTATGTCACCAAAAAGAAGACATTACAATCCAACCGTTACAAAACGATGCCAGTGGTGGTACATAAACTCAAAACCAAAGTAGCAAACTTTCACCAACTATACTTGTCTTGGCATATTTTTACTGTTTTCCTTCACTAGTCTTTTTTTTTTGCCGCGTCATGTGTTATCAAATACCGATAGACTTGACAGTAATTGAAGAAACATGTGATTTTCCATCAAAAATTACCACATCTACATATTTTAATTATGTCACAAAGCTTAAAAAAAAAAAGCTCAATGTCATCGAATTACTGAGCCAAGATGAAGCCAATCCAAACGGAGATCTAACTCGGTTTAAAGAGAGTCAGAAAGACCCGGTCTTGTTTATAACAGCGAAAGCCCATGTGGACTTGGACAAACCGTGTCTAAGTGAGTTTTCTATTCCAATGTCCTACAATTTTGTTCAAAAATGTTGAAAACTATTTTTTTTTTTGTAGTAAAGTCAAAGTCAGAGTTCATATATGTGTTTGTAATACAATAAACATAAGATAGTGAGACCAGCCATGCACAAGTCAAACAACGACATCTCAAGAACCCTATATATAAGCGGCATTATCGAATTAATTACACATCCAAACCCAAAGCTCAATTTTGTTTTTCTTGGTCTTCCATTAAAAGAAGAAGAAGGAACAAAAAAAAAAACTAAATATGATGAAAAAACAATTAGTGCTCATAGTTATCCTAGTTGTTATATTCGTCGTTGTCTTGGACGTTACGCAAGTTGAAGCCATGAGGCCTTTCCCGGAGGCTGTCGATGAGATCAGTCTACTGTTGTTTCAAGCGCTGCAAAGAGGTCCGGTTAGTGGCTCTGGTCGGAACGGTTGCACCAATATCCCTCGCGGTTCAGGAAGATGCCGCCACGGCTAAAGCTTAAGCTGTCATACGATTCTTCTTCCTCTTCATCATTCATTGATTCTTTCTTTTTTCCCACACTTGTGTGCTACGTACATAACATATACGTAATTATACTAGTCTTAGACTGGGTCTCTTATCATTTTAAATGTAATCAACATAAATTTAATTAGTTTATTTTATGTAATGTCCTCACAATGACAATACAAACACATGTTTTTTTTTTGGGAAATTTTGCTATTCACTAGGTTGGTCAAGAGCAAATATTTTTAGAAACAAATGTAATAATAATAATAATAAAATATCGTTTCAAAATAGGAGCTTTATTGGATTTTTCGGTTTGAAAAGGTAGGTAGAAAATACAGTAAATAATGCAAGTATTTGACTTTTTTTACCGCCAAAAGAAATCACATAACACAGAAACATGCGCTCTATATACAGCGTCTGAAGATAAAAGCTGTTCTCATGGCAGTGTACTCCCACTTACACCGCTAGTTGCCGGAGGTTTTCCCCTCCGACGTTGCTAAAGGTCAGGCCTTGACGGCAACAAAAAAATATCTTCCCTTCATGGTTTCCTGCCAAACGGTAATATATGAATCCTATGTGTTTTTTCTGAGGGGAGTTACGAGCACAAGATACCCACAATTTTCATCAACGTTCCTGTGAAAATAAAACCTGCATTGGAGTGTGAAACTTAAGATAATTAGCTTTGCAAGTAACACTCATAAACATTGTACGTTGAGTATGCATAGATGCTACCGCAACGAACTTAAATCATTCTAATGCGGTGTGCAGTGGCCGGATAATCGTATTCTTTCTTGTGCGATGTAAGAGAGGTAGAAACAGAGGATGTAAGGCGTGTGTACCTGTGTGAAACTGCCTATGTTCTGTAGCCAAGCATCAAATGCTTGTAATAACGACCACGGATAATTCTTTGCCACCAATATTTGGTTGAGCTCCAATAACTCATCTTCATTCGCTCTTGGATGAGCCTGTATTGCAAATCACGCAGGTAAGGATTGGGAAAGAAAAAAAAAAACAGAGATTCAAAGTAGCAGGTCCAAGGGAGAAGGGAAAAAAGTTTGATCACCATCTAACAAGACATCTTTTAATGCCTTGGGATATAGGACGGAAGAAAGACGGATCTCGCTGAGTATATAGTATACCAACCTGGAACAGAACCAGCCATTCTTAGTAAAATAGCTCTTTAAATTAAAGAGAAGACAGAAGTTTTACCTCAACCAATGCCATAGCAGACGGGTCTTCAAAGATCTCAAGGCTATAGTCACCCAAATAATTTACCTATAAAACCATCGATGCTTATACATTATCAATGATGCTAGTAATCATTCATTTGATTTCTGATAATGTAAATTGAAAAAAGTTTGCGTCATTTCAATTAAGATTTTAGAAGGGTAGGTACCGCGAATTCTGTATTGACAAGAGCTTGGACAAAGTCCATCAGCTGAATTTTAGCCCATTCGGAGCAGAGAGCAGGATCCTCACTAGGCGGAGGATGCCTCCATGCAGCACCAAACCGTAATTTCTCATCTGGAATGCTTCCCTTTCGTACATCAGCGGCATACCGTTGAAGCCTCAGCAAAGCTTTTTCCATTGCAGGATTAACCACAGCAACCTATATAAGAAAGGAACATTGTAACAATCAAAACATAACTATTGTGGTCTTTGAGAGCAGCTGCAAGTAATCAGTTTAAACGAGCTTACTTGTAAATATGCCAAGTATGCATCCACAATATCTTCAATTGTACCTGCTTTGTTCCCCATCAAACTGAAGAAACGACATATACCATACTAATTACTTAGTTGACTGAATAAGGTAATTTCTTTTCATATTTCCTTTTTTTAGTTTGTGAAGATGATTAAAACCACAAGGCAAAAAAAAAAAAAAAAGATAGAATGAGAGAGAATGCGAAAGAACAGGGAACACTACCTTTGGTAATGATTACTTTGCTTAAGCGCATAAAGCTCAAATAGATGCCGAGAATTGGCTCCAAGAACATCAGCAATGATAGTCCACTATAATTCCAATATTACGTTAGAACTCTAGTATTTATACTATACAACAGTCACTTAAGGGAAATAAACAATAAAATGTTATCAGAAAATATCAGTTAACCTACGACATTTTTCTCACCTCCGAAGCACTGAAGTAATCAGGAACCATGTGTAATTTGGCTTCTTGAGGAGTCCATCCAAATGTCTACAAATGAAACAAAAGCCAAAATGTAATGTAAAAGGAGTAGAACGCGGGAACAAATATAAACTTGAACTCCCAGGTTAACATAATCTCTCGAATTGTCTTTATTGAAAATGAAGTGAGAGATTGTGAAAGTCTACATTGTATACCAAAATACTAATACACGTTCACACAAATGAACACACAATCCATAGATTAGCTAGAGAAATATGTGTACTATACCTCACGAGAGATGAAAATGTCTGGAAATCCGAAGTCAACAAAGGCTTGATATGAGTAGTAGCTGTCATGATTCAAATTATCAGATAGAAAGTGATACATAAAAACTTCCAAAAGAAAAGCTTAGCTAAGAGGCAAGTTCAGAAAGGAAAATGACTATTTAGAGTATCCATAACTAGATGACATGCCACAAAGTATATAAAGCTAGCATACAAGACCAATCAATCATCAAATAGTAATAGCTTGTACTTATAAAACCCAAAAAGGCAACAAAAAACAACACCAACCTATCCGAAGTCACGAACAGAACAGGTAGACAGCGCTCATTCGCACCTAATTGTATTATTCTCCACACAAGATTGTCATGGTACATTGGCGCTGAGACTGTTGAATCATCAGTCTGAATGGCACTCTTCAAGATTTCAATGTTGTTTAAAACTAGCTTAGGCTGCCAAGTGAAACAAACACCAAAACCAAGCCAGCATTACAGAGTGCAGAAAGTAACTCTATAGCGGTCAAAATGCTTCTAAACAATACATACACTGTTTAATTTACTCATAAGATCAAATATACAATATTGTACTTATCAATCCCATTACCTGAAAGAAACCAATCTCTGCAGCTTGTGACAACAACTCAAGCAGCAACAAAGGCCAATCCGTACACGCATTCGCCAACGTTTTCGAAAACCCATTAGTCCTATTCATATGCGCAATGGCATTGGCTCTCCAACCCTGCTGCATCTCTATAACCTCTTTCGCCAACCTCAACGCAAACGCCGTCTCTCTATAGTAACTAGCCTCTTCCACAGACAAGCTCCCACACCCATTCTCATCCAACCCAACCAACAAATCAACCTCATCGGCATTTCGTCGAACACTTAGCGCGCACACCGCCCTTTCCCACAGAAACGAAACTGACGCCTTCTCCGGAACAGAGACTTTACATCCCTGGAGAACACGGCGGAGAGAGGTGTTGAGACCGTGCCATTTGTTCATGGTGGTGAAAATCTGGTGCGAGCTTAAAGACCCGAGCTTGATGGCTTTGTGGGTCATGGATTCGAGGCAATTCTCGAGGTGGGTTTTGCAATTGGAGAGTGATGGTGGGTCAACGCTGGTCCAAGACGTCCATGGGTATGATTTCTGGTGATCTGGGTGGTGCTCGGGGATTGATTGTGCGAAATCTACGTAGCCGGCGATGTGTGGGCCTTTGTTCCAGTCGCCGAGGAGACCTGAGATTGAAATTAATTTAAAAGTTATGATCTTTTTTTTGAAGAAATTGAGATTTGGTGAAGTTAGGGATTGAGATTTTACGGTTGAGGATTAGGGTTGTTTTGCCGACGCCGCGAGGACCGTGGAGGATTAGTGGCTGGGGGACACGGTGGCGTTGGACGTGGTTGTTGAGGACTGTTTCGAGAAGTGGTCTTGGGATTATCTTCCATGGTTTGTTCACCATTTCTCTGCTTTGTCTTCGTACTTCTCGATCAGCGAGAGAGAGAGAGTGTGTGTGGGGGTTTATGGACACTCCCAAATCTCGGGAAAATGTTCAATCGGAACTATCGAGGGTTTAAGTGTTTTATGGATCATTTCTCTCGCCGAGGAAGAACCACAAACGTATCCAACCAATTTGAACCGGTTTTGGTTTCAAATTCGGTTCTTTGTACCGGATGCGAATAATATGTGAATTAATTAATCTGAACCGGCTTATACACCCTGAACCGGTTTGATTCTAATTCGCTTCTTTGTATCGGAATGTGATTAGTACGAACCAATCTGATCCGGCTTATACAACCTGAACCAGTTAGGTTTCTATTTTGATTACTTTGTATAGGTTATGAGTAGTTTGTGAACCAATGTGAACCGGTTTATACAATCTTAACCAGTTTGGTTTCTAATTTGGTTCCTTTGTATTAGATGCGAATAACAGAGGATCAATCATGATGAAACATTCTGTCTATAACTTCCAAAGTTTTTGAAAAAAAAATATTGACATATAGATTTCCAAAGTTGTAGAAAAAAAATTTCCAAATATGTTAAAATTTTTTTTAACTCAAGGTCGATCTCCCCTGTGAATAATATGCGAACCAATCTGAATGTTTACAGTAAATAAACATAACCGGAATCTTCAAACTGATTACTTGAATTGAAAGTTGAAACTGAGCATAAGTGATAAGCAGAAAAGAGCCGTAAACGTGTACTAGATGTCTAGATCATGGGCCTGTTTGTTTCACCATCCAGATGATTCATCTGGATGGAGATGAGAGTTTTGTTTGTTTAAACACTAAAAGTACAACTCATCTAGATGGATCATCCGGATGACTTTGAAATTTTAGGCTTAATTTTGAAATCCATCTGGATGGACCAATTTGAACCATCTGGATGGAGATGATTTTTCCAAAACTGTATAATATATATATTATACCCTTTTATATAATTCATAAATTACAAACCTAAACATAATATTATTTTGTAACTTACATGACAAAACCATATTTCCTCAAATGACAAAACCGCATTTTTTTCGCCAAAACCGTAAAAACACGTTTTTCCGCCAAAACTGCAAAAACGTGTTTTCTCGCCAAAAATCGCAAAAACGGATTTCCTGCCAAAACCGCAAAAACATGTTTTTCCGCCAAAACCGTAAAAACGTTTTTTTCCAGCTAAAACCGCAAAAATGTGTTTCCCGCCAAAACCGCAAAACTCGTTTTTCCGCCAAAACGCATTTTCCCGCAAAAACGCGTGTTCCGTCAAAACCGCAAAAATACGTTTTCCTAGCAAAACCGCAAAAACCCGTTTTTCTGCTAAAACGCATTTTCCCGCAAAAACCGAAAACATGTTTTCCCGCCAAAACCGCAAACACACGTTTTCCTACCAAAACCGCAAAAAAATCGTTTTACGCAAAAACACGTTTTCTCGTAAAAACTGCAAAACGCGTTTTCCCGTAAAAACGTGTTTTTCCGCCAAAACGCGCTTTCTCGTAAAAACCACTAAACACATTTTCCCGCAAAAACGCGTTTTTCGCCAAAACGTGTTTTCCCGCCAAAACGCGTTTTCCGCCAAAAGGCGTTTTCCCGCAAAAACGCGTTTTCCGCCAAAAGGCGTTTCCCGCAAAAACGCGTTTTTCCGCCAAAACGCGTTTTCCCGCCAAAAGGCGTTTTCCCGCCAAAACGCGTTTTCTCGTAAAAACGCGTTTTCCCGCTAAAACGCATTTTCCCGCCAAAATGCGTTTTCCGCAAAAACGCGCGAAAACGTGTTTTCTTGCCAAAATGCGTTTTCCCGCCAAAACGCGTTTTCCCGCCAAAACGCATTTTCCCGCCAAAACACGTTTTTTGCTAAAACCACAAAAACGTGTTTTCCCACCAAAACCGTAAAAATATCCTTTTCTGCCAAAATCGCAAAAACGCATTTTTCCGTTAAAATCGAAAAAATGTGTTACCCCGCTATAACCGCAAAAACGCATTTTCCAACTAAAAGCACAAAAATGTGTTTTCCCGCCAAAACATGTTTTTTCGCCAGAACCACAAAATCCCGTTTTTCCGCAAAAACGCATTTTCGCGTCAAAATTATAAAAATATATTTAAAATTAATATCATATATATGACTAAATCAAAACAAGGGTATTTTAGTAATCTTTTTACTAAAATCATTTAGATGGAGAAGAAAAATAGAGAAACAAACATGACTCCATCTAGATGATCCATCTAGATGGACCATCTTAATGGACAAACAAACAATCTTAAAAATGTGGATGGACCATCTAGATGAATCATCTAGATGGATTAGCTGGATAGATTGTGAAACAAACAACACCCATATGGTAGAACTGCGGTTAATCAAACATACCACCAATTTTAAAAGAATTCATTTCATTAGCTTTCAAATAGTTTCTAAATTCGGAAATTCTATAAGAATGAAACACGTATTTGCTTTGATATATGATTATGTGTTACAAGAACGGTTCTGTATAGTTTCTAGTATAATATATACAACAATCAAAAGAAAAATCAATCCGTAGCCTGAATAAGAGTTGAGTATTGGGGATCAAAATTAAACGTGAGTGCTCATCCGTGGCACTTTCCCGAGCCTTTGGGGATATGTGAGCAACCGTTCCTACCGGAACCAGGAACCGAACCTTTCTGCAACGACTCGAACACAAACCGAATCTCACTATCGACGGTGGTTCGTAGTAGCCTTGTGGCTCCTACTTGTTTTGCGTGCATGAACATCATGAAAAGTGCAAGCAACATCACTCCAAGTATCACTTGTTTCTTCATCGTCATCACTTTGTTCTTTAGAACTTTAAAAGCAAAGAAAGTCAAAGGTCTTCTTACGATTTGTATCGTATTGAGGTTGAGTGGTGTTTAGAATCTTGAGTATGAGTTGATATATATAGAGGGTTTCGTTTCTTCGGTCTAATAATCTGAAATTAATAGTTATATGGTTTTGACTTTTATTTGGAGAGAATTGGTTTTCAACACATTTGAACCAAAAGATAAATATTGAAACGGATCAAACAAGTTAACACATAACACGGTTTCTGTCTTGAACAGCAAGGTTATTTTTTGTAAGGAAAATACAACCGCGATGTTATGATCCGGTTCACGCTGGTTCGTAGAATACCGGTTTGATTTTACGGTAATTTTCTAGTGTCATCAATTTTCCGTAAAGGTACTGATAGGACATTTGATATTTTTGTATCATTCCCCTAAGTTGTAACTCGTATATATAGGGGGAATCTAGAAATTTTTTGTAGTGGGTGCATAATTTATAAACTATAAATAAAATGACAAAGTTAAGATCATATGTGAGACATTAATGGGTGCACATAGCTTAATCTTTATGAATTTACATACAAATTTTTTAAAATTGATAATTCTATGGGTGCACGTGCCCCCTTAGTTGTAGCCTTGCCTTCGCCCAGTATACAGGTTGGTAGCGAAGCTGGGTTAAAGCTATGTATGTTTTGTTTTTTTTACCGGTTGGGAACAATTAATCAGTCCAATAGGATTCAGTAATATTATAATAGGTCGCGTTTAGTAACTTAAACGTGGATAATATTTGTATGTTATTCATGTAGAAGTGATTTCAAGGAGCAAATATTGGACTCGAAAACTTATGGTTCTTTAATTGGTTGTTTAATGATTTAAACATATATATTTTGTAATCTCACATTCTGCACATGCTTCATACAACACAATACATATCATAACTTGTAAGTAAACAGTTATTTCTTGAGTTGGTCTTTGGTAAAAGGAGATGACTTCAAGATAAATGCTGGTAGGCGCGGAATAAAATCTATCAATTAACTAAACTAAGTAAGTTACAAACACTAATCCAATTTTTTTTGTTTTGTCAACACTAATCCAATTTATTAATTACCACTGATACATGTTGCTTTACCTTTATATCTCAGTTTTTGCCAATATTATTCTTTTCATAGGATCAACTATTTATAGATTTCTATAAAGTCATACTATATACAACAAAGGTTCTGTAAAAGTTAATATTTTAGAAAAGCGTCAATGCAATCTGCAAAGGAGGGCAGATGGATCTTTCTTTTGATATTCTCTCTCAGATGCGTGCGAAGAGAGTCATGCCTAATGTTGTTAGTTACATACACCACTGTCATTGACGGTTTTGCAAAAGCTGGGAGATTCGATGATAATCTTGTAATAGAGTTATTTGAGAAGTTAACCACTGAGAGTACTAACAGAAAGAAGAAGGATTGTAAGGAGAAGAGTATGCATGAGCTCTTGAGTATATTAGAAGTTACCCGTAAAATGCATCAGATGCAAATCAAACCTAATGTGGTAACCTTTTCAGCTATTCTGAACGCTTGCAGGTTTGTCCCTCCTCTTCAGCATTTTTTTGGGGAGGAGTCTTGTTTTTGTTGACATGTTTTGTATCTATGTAGTCGGTGCAATTCATTTGAAGATGCTTCAATGTTGCTAGAGGAGCTTAGGTTGTTTGATAATCAGGTGTATGGTGTTGTTCATGGACTTCTCATGGGCCATAGAGAGAATGTGTGGCTCCAAGCTCAGAGCTTATTTGACAAAGTGAAGGAAATGGATGGTTCTACAGTTTCTGCTTTCTACAATGCTCTTACAGACATGCTCTGGCACTTTGGTCAGGTATAAATCTACACATTTATTGTAGAGTCCAAGTGTTGGAGTTGGTAAAACCTTGTTGTTAATAGAAACGAGGTGCGCAACTGGTGTAACTATCGTTTTTTTTTTGGTCTAAATGGTGTAACTATCTTAACTAGTTTAAAGAGAATACCAGCTAGACTTGTAAAAGATTGCACAACTATCTTAACTAATTTAAGGAGATGCCTATGTTGATACAAACAATTGAAAGTGTGAACCAACACAAACATTTATAACAACAACGCACTAAGTTTCAACAACCAAAACACAAAAAGAAGAAAGCTAACAAGAACAAACCTGAAAACAAAAGAAGTCAGGCTGGAGAGACAAAACCCAAAGTTAATTTTGTTCAAGAAAAAAAAATCAAATAGAGATTAAACTCTGGAAATAACAAACAAGAAATCCCATGGATTTATCAGCGGTGAAAGTAAAATCCCCCCCTGGACGATCGGTTTCGGGGTCATATATCAACAGACATTCAGTTTTCATAATGTCATAAAACAGCAAATCCTTCTTCTTCTTCTTCTTCTTCTTGCCATCCAAAAGTACTAGTGGACGGAAGGCGCTTACTGTTGGGGAACCATATAACACAAAATTCAAATCCAGATCGATGGAGAAAAGTTTTTCCCACGTCTTGTTGCCTGAATTGAAGGACCATATCACTTGGTCGGGCCCCTTCATGTGTGACACGCACAGACGGTTGTCGAGGTTGCACAAGACGATCGAGTAAGGATTCTCATCATATGAATTGGCGGGAAAGGGAGCTTTTGAAGAGACGACTTGAAAAGCCTCGGTGTGAAGATCAAAACACAAAACTTTGGTTTCCTTGCAATCTGTGAACCAATGAAGCGAACCGTGTACAAAGACGGGATCGGCGACCCTAGCAACCCGATAAGGAGCAGAGGGAGTCACATACCTCCAAGCATTGGTGCTAAAGTCGAAAACTTCGCATGTGGCAGCGTTGTCAAGGCCGGAGTTGTATAGCCAAACAGGCTTATAAGTAGTAGTAGTTGTGCATGTGTCTTTACCGAATCCAAGCTTAAAGATGCCGGGCTCATTCTCATGGTAACTCTCTCCTTGGCTGATCATGAGTTGTTGCAATTGGCAGAGAGGAAGAGGACGATACCATCTCGTGGTGGGGTTGAAGACATAACCGGATTCCAAGGGATGGTAGAGACAAACGAGACCGTCACAGCTATTACCGGACACGAAGTAGCCTGTTGTTGTTGGGTTCTCCTTACCCCAAGGATTAGGGATCTTGACGGATAAGGATGAACCCAATACATATGTTCTTTGAGTAGTTGCGGACGCCATGAAAACATCTGGATCTCTTCCTCCTGACTGCTGATGATGCTTCAACTGCCTCTCTTGGAAGTTTCGTGATTCCATCGTTGATTTCCATTGCTTCGATACAGACTTGAATCTCAGCAGAGATCTCACCGGAAGTCTCTCCAAGATGTTCTCTACCACGTGGTGGGGCAGAGCTTCTTCCATCATCATCAATCTACGTTTTTTTTCCATCATCATCACAATAAGAATAAGATACAGAGAGGCTGCTTAGTTTTATAAACGAGATTTGACATATTAAAAAGAAGAAGAAAAAGTAAAACCTCTCAGGGATAAGGAAAAGGATTATTCTTCTTACCGACACTTTCCTTTTCATACAAATTTCAATTACTCGATTTCTTGATTTTCATCACATCTCTCGTCCTTCAAACCACACACAACATATCTTTCTCCCAACTCAACCCAGAAACCTCTTTTCGGACTTATCTCTTCTTGTTATTATCAAAAAAAATAATAATAAATATAATTTTCTCTTCTTTCTTTTTTCCTTTTTTTATGGGCTTTAATTTTTTTTTTTTTGGACTAAAAACTCTAAATACAGTATGATTTAAATCGACGGTAGTATCTTATCTTCAGTGATGAGATAATATTTTAACCTTTTTTTTTTCGATCAAACATTACTTTGACTTTAGCCGACAACCCAAACCCTACCCTACTCAAACAAGAAAATTACCACCACACCCCCCCCCCATTAAAAAAAACCTTAATATGAAAAGTCTGAATAAAAATCCCAAACTCTAACCTGAAATTAACCCAGTTTATCTACGGGTACACTCTAATACTTTGAAATCATTCTCAGACATGGTTTGACTGTTAAGACTCTCTGTTTCTGGTTTCAGAAATAAAGTTAATGGGTCCTCTGTTTCCTCGACAGGTCCTTTAAAGCTTTTATCTTTTCTCCAAGTGTGCGTGAAGGGAAGTGAATCTGAGATAAACAAGGTCCCTGTACAAACTCCATCACTCATAGCCTACGACCAGATGCTCAAATCTCTGGCCGAGACCAAAACCTTCACGAAAAGTATTGACTCTGTTCGCTGTACTGCGACGAAACGCCTTGTATCCCGACAATTTCACCTTACCCATCGTCCTTAAATCAATCGGACGCCTGAGGAAGGCCGGGCTAAATCTCGATCGCTCGCAAAATGTTCGACGAAATGCCTGACCGAGACGTTGTTTCTTGGAACGGGCTGATTTCTAGCTACGTCGGGCACGGTAGGCTTTGGTGACGCCGTTACTGTTTTCAAAAGGATGAGTAAAGAGAGTAACTTGAAGCCTGACGAGAGTACCATCGTGAGCACACTCTACATTGAAGAATTTGGAAGTTGGTGAAGGGATTCATAGGTTATGTTGTTGTTGGCAGAGAGTTTGGGAATGCGATGGTGGATATGTTCTGTTAATGCGGGTGTCTAGATAAGGCCAGGGAGGTTTTTGAATCGATGAGGAGGGGAACAAAATGTTAGTAACGGTAGGGTTGATGAGGGTAGAGAGTTGTTTGAGACAAGTCCTGTGAGAGATGTTGTTCTGTGGACGGCTATGATGAATGGGTATGTTCAGTTTAACCGGTTTGATGAGGCGTTGGAACTTTTCAGGCGCGTGCAGATAGAAGTTGTTAGACCTGATAACTTCGTGCTTGTCTCTCTTTTGAAATGATGTGCGCAGACGTGGGATCTAGAGCTAGGGAAGTGGATCCATGGGTACATATATGAGAACAGAGTTAGAGCTGATAAAGTGGTTGGTACTGCTCTTGTGGACATGTATGCGAAATGTGGCTGCATAGAGACAGACAGACATACAGCTCTGGAGGTTTTTTATGAAACGGGGGACAGAGACGCTGCTTCTTGGACATCGCTTATCTACGGTCTTGCCGTGAACGGGATGTCAAGGAGAGCGATGGACTTGTACTACAAGATGGAAAGGGTTGATGTCAGATCAACGTTTGTCTCGCTCTTAACAGCTTGTAACCACGGTGGGTTTGTAGGAGAAGGACGTAGAGTTTTCTATTCGATGATCCAGCCTAAAACAGAGCACTATAGCTGTATGATTGACCTACTATGCAGAGCTGGTTGTTTAGATGAAGCAGAGGAACTGATAGATAAGATGAGTGATGAAAGCGGTGGAGCTTTAGTTCATGTGTACTGCTCTTTGCTAAGCGCTACTCCTCGGAACTATGGGAATGTGGAGTTATCTGAAAGGGTAGCGGAGAAGCTGTAGGAAGTGGAAGTTAGTGATTCGAGTGCTCATACTCTGCTGGCAAGTGTATACGCATCTGCCAATAGATGGGGAAGACGTGACCAGTGTGAGAAGCAAAATGAAAGATTTGGGAATCAGAAAGTTTCCTGGTTGCAGCTCTGTTGGAGATTGTTTTGGGGTGCCTCATGTATTCATTGTTGGAGATACATCATCATCATCATTGAGTTTGGAACTTGAAGTCGTTGAAATTTGACACTTTCTTGTGTTTCACAGAGCGGACGCTATTGGAATACCATCTTCTAATCGATAATGTAAGGAAACCAAGCCAAGGACCTTGCTTTGTGGAGAAACTACAAGACATTGTGGTTCGAGCTTTAGGTTCGCTGTTTAATTGATTTGGTTTGGTTTAGTCTTTAGTACGGTTTGTTAGTTCCGGTTCGGTTCGTTTGTGTTCTTCCACGACACACGCTTTGATGATCTTCTATCTATTCTCTGGTTTAAAACTAAAAGCACCTCGACACTCTGTTTCGGCTCCTTGTCTCTCTCTCTGTCACTCTTTCTCCGTGGATTCTTTCCGAGGATCAAAGAAGAGATGCAAACTATCTCGAAAGCTCCGTCTGCTATCTCCTTCTTTCGATGTTCTTCGGTTTGTTTGTTTCTTTTTTTTCTGGATTCTTACAACTTATGATCTGTAGCCTTAAGATAGTTTTTGATTGTAATTCCATTGGTTCGTCTCCTCTTAGATATTTACTGATGATTGATATCACAAACAGAGTTGGTGGAATCAAGAAATCTTTTTGAGGTTGCGTTACTATATGAAATAAAAACTTTGTGGTTATCAAATCCTTACTTGTGATATGGATGCAATGATGAAACATGTTGCATTCAGTTATGTACATAAGGCTTGTTTTGTTTGACTATTTTTTGTTTTTTCAATTGTTCTTGTTATTCATTTTCTCGAAGTGATTCAATGTGTAACATCTTTCTTTGTTTTCACAGAAGCTAACAAGTCAGCCATGTGTGAGACAGCTTCACCTCAGAAAGGGTCTTGTATGCAGAGTCATGAAGCTTGTTTCTTCACCTCTTAGGACTTTGCGCGGTGCTAGCAAATCTATCCGTGTGTCCAATTTCTGCAGCGTCTCCAACATCTCCTCATTACAGATTGAACTGGTGTCTACTTCTTGAATCTCCTAAAAGCATTTCATTTTTCTCAATACTGATTTGATAGATAGCTTTGTTTAGTTTTTATGTAACTGAAAATGACTCTTCATTTGGAAATTAGGGCTGCACATTCTATCAGGTGCAATTAAAAACACATGCTGTTGTCAACAAATAAAGTCATGAGCGTTAGATAGCTTAGCTGCGTATCAGTTTCAGAAGCGTCTCCTTTTCCATAAAACATATATTATTCCTTAGAAGGGGGTTAAGTGAAGAACAATTTTAGTTTTCTGAAATTAACTTTGGTGAGTTACCCTGAAAGGAAAATTGAGCGTTGCTCTGACATTAGCCTTGCACCTGCATATAAATTGTCACTGAAGAGAATAAGAAAGAAACTATGAAACTCATACCAGTAACTACCCTATGCCTTTATGATCGCTCTTTCCATAAGACCTTTCAATTTCTTCTTCTATACTTTCATCAGCGGTTCTTATGCCTTCTCTACTTGACTCAATTTCTTGTACATTTCACCTAACAATTTTCAATATATTCATCAGAAACAAAACAGAGAACTTGGTACTGAAACTAACTCTAAAAGCGAACATAAGTCAAATATTTGATATTATTGTTACCTTTGCATCTGCGTTTAAGACGACATGAACTGTATGTAGATATAACAATGAAAGCTCACTGCCAGATCGGCACAAAAGGGGAAGACCACAACAGCCGTGACAGACGCAATATTTTTTACGTTTTGAGCCATGGATCTCCGACTAAATCATGAACCGTAGCAACCAACAGAAAGCGTAGCTCAGTACTTGGTTTCTCATTCTCATCAACCGGTCCAACTTCCATGTGAACCCCTTTCTCATCTGCTGCAGTTTACATCCGACCATAGACCATAGACCATTGGCCATAGAGAGAAATATCGTTTGTGCCGGATAGACCACCATAAAGAAACTATATCGAGAAGCATGAAGATATTGCTCAAAAGTTTTGAGTCAAAACTTTGTATCAGATTTTAACTGCTCAAATTAGGATTTTATAACGCTAGAGATTAGAATCTCTAAAGTTGTGTTCGTACACGAAGTTGCCCTGATCACTTAAACTTAAACGATTGGCCTTCTTTAATGAGTCGGCTTTAAGATTGAAGACATGGAAGGTAGTTGGCGATTAGTCATGGAAAATATCTATCTACGAAGAAGACGATGATTCATGGAAACACGTCATATCATTGTTGCTTTTTTTTTTGCAGGCCCGTTTGGAAGCTCTTTAATCCAAAAGAGGAATTCTTTTAGGCCCATTGTTTTAGGATGTTTTGCTGGTCATGAAGTCCATGTTATGGATACTCCTGGCCACACAAAAGGTTGTTTTTATAACTCACATGTTATAATTTGAATCCTTTGAATGTTATATTCCCTGCATGGACTTGCATTCTAGTAATCATTTTTTTTATTTTTCATTCTAGTAATCATATGATATTCAACCTTTTTCTAATTATCTTGATTCTCCTTGTAGGTCATATTAGCTTATACTTTCCAGGATCACGAGTATCTTCACTGGGGACACATTGTTTAGCTTATCATGTGGTAAACTCTTTGAAGGTACACCTAAGCAGGTAAAACACCATATATCACACACTATATCTTCCTGTTTAATTTACATCATCAGAAGTTTTCATGTGTATACAACTTGTTGTGTAGATGTTTGCTTCTCTCCAAAAGGATCATATCCTTACCAGATGACACGAGCATGTACTGTGGTCATGAATATACGTGGTCTGTTATATTTTGGTCTTCTTGTTGTTGTTGTTGTGAAGCTTTTAACTAAAAATTTGGATGGTCTTAAACGACTTTAATTTTTTTTGCAGAGTAATTCAAAGTTTGCATTGTCTATAGAGCCAAATAACGAAGTACTCAAGTCTTATGCAGCTCATGTTGCAGAGCTCCGTAACAAGAAACTACCTACTGTAAAAGAAATGATTCTCTTTATGCATTACTCAATATCCATGGTTAAACTTGGTGTTGATTCTTGTTTTATTATTCTTAGTCAGATTCCCACAACAGTGAAGATGGAGAAAGCTTGTAACCCGTTCCTTCGAAGTTCAAGTACAGATATTCGGCGGGCTTTTGGCATTTCAGAGACTGCAGATGAAGCAGAAGCTTTAGGGATTATCCGAGAAGCTAAGGATAATTTTAGAGCTTAGGCTTACAATCTTTTTTTTTTTTTTTTTTTGAACAATAGATTAATTTTATAAAAGAGAAAGCATCCAAACAGAGGTTTCAAGCCAAAAGGCTAGCCCAGAAACGAAAGAGCAGAGGAACAATGGCCTTAAGGGCCTGCTTTGCTAAAAAGTCAGCACCCCTGATCTGAGAACGAGAGATATGCTGAAAGAAGATAGAGAAAAAATCAGTTTCAAAAAAAAAAGAAGATAGAGAAAAAGCTGGAAGAAAGAGTGTCGATGTCTTGTAGAACACTGTGGAGTCCTTTCAATTTGCTTTTGGAGAGAATCTCTAGTCCATATAAATAAGGTAACTTGGACCTTTTTTGTACTTTCGATAAAAAACAAAGAGGCAGATAAAATATTTATATGATCACGGGTCAAGTTTTAGAAATAAACAACAACAGTGCAAGATTAAACCTTTTAACAAATTTATTTTAGTAGAAATTATGGTTACAGATATGTTTATATATTTTAGGTATTTATAAATTTATTTTATTTGTTTTTAAGGGATGGTAAGATTTTGGAATTTGAAAAAATAAGACACATCTCTATAATATTTTAACTAAAGTTTCACCCGCACATCCGTGCGGGTATGTTTTTCATTTTATCAATATATAACTAATTTTTTTAAATATATGATTTATATTTTAGTTTTAATTATAATTATATCTAACGAAATAAAGAAATACTTATTTTGTAAAAAAAAATATAAATTTTGGGTAAGATCTTGTTAGATTTTTTCAACAGATTTTATATTTAAATTTATTTATTATTAATATCTTTATTAATTATTAAGGTATTTTGAAAATAATATATATTTGACTGCTTAATGTAACAATCAAGTATGTCAAATTAAATAATTAATGACATGATCCAACATGACTTCTAAATAATAAATAAATTTGGTACTTTTTTTAATAGAGAAGATTAGAAAATTTAACTTTATATCATAATATTTAATTAAACTTTCAATTTTAATTTTTATCGTAGCTGCAAAGATTAATTTTAAATCTAGATTTTATGTTTAAATGTTATAAATTTATCATTTAATATAAACAAAAGAACTAAAAAAATAAAACAAATACCCCGGTCGGGCGAATTAAGGTCTAGTTGTAATTATCCGAACGGTTTTTTTTTGCCGAATCCCTTCCATTTTAGATGAATTCCAAAAGGATATGATTCATGCTGATAGTAAAATAAAAATTATAAACCACATTTTGGGTGTTATCCCTAAACGAAAATCAGTATTTGCTGAGTTGTTGGCTAGATGAATTTGGTTGGTAAGCTAGGATATGGCATAATGAACTTTTGTGATTAGAACTTCTTAGATGTGAATTGCAGTATTATAGGGGTTATGATTTCAAATTTTTTTAAATCTGTGAGTTCCTTCTCTTTTCAAAATCTCTTTCAGAGAGTATGTCTGTTTGTTTTGCTTGAGGACAAGCAAAAAGGTAAGTCTGGGGGAGTTGACATACCATGAATTTGACCCGTTTTTAGTCATGGTGTATTAGTGTTTTTACTACTATTTATTATATTATAGAAGTTAAGCATATTTATAGGTTCAGAAGTATTTTGGAAGAAAATGATGTTTTTAGAGCATTTTAGAGATAATTAGAAGAATCATTCGATTTGGAATCGACTACGAGGTCGACACGGAGCGACTCGAGTCGATCAACATGAGAGAGAGAGAGAGAGAGAGAGAGAGAGAGAGAGAGAGAGAGAGAGAGAGAGAGAGAGAGAGAGAGAGAGAGAG